GCTCTTGGACTGTGGGGCTACTCGCAACTTCATCTCTCCCAAGGCAGTCAGCAAGCTGCACTTGGATTAGAGGTTGGTGAAATTGTGACAGCCTTTAGAGGTGTGCATTGGAGACTCTTCCACAGTCAGAATCACTACTGTTGTCAAGGGCCTACCTGTGTCCTTTGACAAGCAGGGAGAAGTCAGGCATTGCCTGAACTTCTACGTGTTTCCTAATGTCCCCCTTGACCTTGTCTTCTCTATGCAGTAGCTTGGTGCCACCAATCCTAGGATCGATTGGCAGATCCCTATGGTTGAGCTACCTGACCGGCATGGGGTCTATCGCCCTTGCATGCTCGCTGATGAGTACCATCCGGCCAGCAACTGTTATTGTATGAGTGCTCGCAATTTTTTGCAATTCTCACGCCAGACTGACCATGCCCGTCTGTTCGTGGCTTATGTCAAACAGACTGACGTGGAGACTGCTCCCTCCCTGTCCCTCTCAGATTCAGTAGGTTGTGGACAGCTTCCCAGATCTTATGGAGGAGCCTACTGGACTTGTTCATAGGCAAACCAAACATAAGATTGATATCCTGCCTGGTTCGGTCCCTCCCAAGGGCCGAGTCTACAGGATGTCACCTGCTGAACTTGAAGAGCTCATGAAACAGTTAGAGACCCTAACCAGCAAGGGCTGGATCAGGCCCAGCACATTTGAGTTTGGGGCACCGGTCCTCTTTGTTCCAAAGGGGAATGGTGAATTCAGGATGTGTGTGGACTATAGAGGTCTCAACAAAATCACGAGGAAGTCTACAGAGCCCCTTCCTCGCATTGATGATCTGTTGGACATGGTGCAGGGCTGCACCATCTTTAGCAAGACCGACCTCAAATCTGGCTATCACCTGATTCAGATGGCTGAAGGCGATGTCCACAAGACAGCCTTCAAAACCAGGTATGGTACTTATGAGTACCTGGTCATGCCATTCGGTCTTTGCAATGCCCCAGGCACCTTCCAAACAGAGATGCATCGCATACGCAGGCCTTACCTGGACAAGTTCATAGTTGTCTACCTTGATGTTATCTTGGTATTCAGTCGTTCTGTCCAGGAGCATGCGCAACATCTGGCTCTGGTCCTCCAGGCCTTACGTGATAACCAATATAAGATTAACAGGGAGAAATCCTCTTTTGGAGTTCCCTCTGTGGTCTATCAGGGTCATGTCATTTCTGGAAAGGGGTTGGCTCCTGAAGCAACGAAAGTTGTTGCGGTTCAAGACTGGTCACGACCTGCTAACATTCGTGATGTCCGGTCGTTCTTGGGGCTTGCATCATATTACAGGAAGTTCATTAAGAATTTCTCTTCTATTACAACTCCCTTGACTGATCTCACAAAGAAAGACACTTCCTTTCTTTGGACATATGAATGTCAAGAGGTTTTCACACGTCTCAAGGAGGCCTTGATTCGTGCCCCTGTCTTGAAGCTACATGACCCTACCCTGCCTTTTGTGCTTACCACTGATGCCAGTCAGTATGGTGTAGGGGCGGTACTTCAACAAGATGATGGGAATGGTCTGCAGCCTATCGAATATATGAGCAAAAAAATCAAAACAAAGAAGTTGCAGGATTCCATCTATGAGAAAGAGCTTTATGCTCTTGTGTCAGTGCTCAAGCATTGGAAACACTTTTTCCTGGGCAGGCACTTCAAGATCTTTTCAGATCATTCCACCTTGCAGTGGATGAAGTCCCAGGGAGAGTTGAATGACAAGTTTGCTCGCTACATTCAGTTCATTGACATGTTTGACTTTGAACTGAAGCACATGAAGGGCTGCTACAACCAAGTGGCAGATGCCCTTTCTCGTAGGCCTGACGCTCTTTTCCTGATCTCCTTTACTCACTCATTTGGAGAGAGGACCCGTCAGACCATTGCCTAGTTGCTGCCCCAGGATGAGATCTTTGGGCCTATCGTGAGGAATCTCCAAGACGATCCTGCCTCTGAACCAGAATATACTCTGATTTCAGGTCTGCTGTACACATGCAGCAGAGGTGAGGAGCGTCTGTGCATTCCCCAGGACCGCAAGCTGAGAACACTTCTGATATCAGAGTGTCATGATGCTCGTGGTCACTTTGGTGCCCTCAAATCTTATGCAGCCCTGTCGCAGCGCTTCTTCTGGAAGGAGATGAGGAGTGACATGCTGCACTATGTGGAAACCTGTGAGTTATGCCAAAGGAACAAGGTTGTACGTCGACCTCCCCTTGGCCTACTCAAGCCGCTACCTATCCCTGATGCTCCTGCACAGTCAGTGTCCATTGATTTTACTGACTTGGGTAGGACTACCCGTCGTGGTATGCGTCAGGTCATGGTATGTGTGGACCGGTTCTCCAAATATGCAGAGTTCATCCCCTTACCAGTTGAGGCTCGTGTGCCAGCCGTTCAAGCGGTGTTTACTGACAGGTGGGTTACACATCATGGACCACCCACCTCTATCGTCAGTGACAAAGATTCTTGATTTTGCAGCAATGAAAGGCAATCCTACTGCAGGGATTACCTTCATTCACGTCTGGATATGACATCTGGTCGTCATCCTGAAGCCAATGGTCAGGCTAAAGTGACGAACCAGATTCTTTTCCAGCTGCTGCGTCCTGTGATCAGTCCAGATCATCAGGACTGGGATCTCCATTTGAGTCGTGCACAGCTTGCGTACAACACGTTTGTACACTCCTCTACTGGCTTCACACCCTATCGGTTACACTGGGGTTGTGAGCCACGACAGCCTCTCGATGACATCATCGATAAGGCTACCCCTACGTTAACGCCTGGAACTGCAGAGTTCACCAGACGTTACCGTGTGGACATTGAGCGCGCCCGTGCTAACTTGTTGAAGGCCCAAAAGGCAATGATTCAACAGGCTAACAAGCACAGACGCCCCTCTACTATTCGCACAGGTGACTGGGTGTGGGCACTCAGTTATGAGCTTTCACGAGAGGAGGACATTTCGCCTAAGCTGTTGCCATGATATATAGGTCCATGGCAGGTCTTAGATACAGTGGGAGTTGATCCATTTTGACCATCCTATACAGTGGATGTCCCTCTGCATCTACAAACCTACCCTGTCTTTCATGCATCTAAGCTGTTGCCGTTCACGCCAGTTGATGCATTCCCAGACAGGCCTCCTCAGTTCGGTCCCCCTATCCCTAGCAAAGGGTATGAGGTCGAAACTGTGGAGGATGAGTCAGGTACAGGTCCAGATAAGGAGTACCTTGTGAAGTTCTTGTACCAGCCACATACTGAGGACTGCTGGTTCACTCGCAAGGAACTTCTGAAGACGGCCAAGTCTGTAATCCTCAAGTATGAGGAAGCACAAAAGGGGACATCCCTTCGGCGCTCTGCACGCCTACGCCCCTAGCTCGGAGGTCCTCGCTCCGAGGGAGAATAGGTCTGCAATGACTTGCTGTTTTCTAGTCGCCTGTAGCCCCTCTCTGTCGAGGTTGTACTATAGGTAGGACAGATTCCTAATTTTGTTTGGTTGAGGGCTAACCGAGAGACCTACCTGTGAGGGCAATTCGTGAAGGACATATTTGCAAATCCGGGAAAATACAGGCCCGGTACTAACAGAATTCCCTACAGCTACCCTAACTGCGAACAGCAGACCCGGGCTACCCCTAGGACAGACAGACTGAGACAGTCCCTAAGGGCCTCTTCTGATAGACGGTCCTATAGCCTATAGCCGGGTCCGGTAGAGGCCGAGAGGCCGAAACAAATACGGTATCGGTCGGTCAGTCAGTCCGGTCTAGGTCGAGTCTAGGCTAGTTGTAGGATATAGATAGGATGGGCAGATCGGTTCAGGGCTTTTGGCAGTTGGTACCTAGTACATCGTTGTTGCGCTACGCATGAACCGGAAGTGGTGACGACTAATAGACGGTCCTATAGCCTACAGCCGGATCCGGTAGAGGCCGAGAGGCCGAAACAGATACGGTATCGGTCGGTCAGTCAGTCCGGTCTAGGTCGAGTCTAGGCTAGTTGTAGGATATAGATAGGATGGGCAGATCGGTTCTCGGCTTTTGGCAGTTGGTACCTAGTACATCGCTGTTGCGCTACGCGTGAACCGGAAGTGGTGACGACTCAACGTGGAAGAAGACAGGCATAGCCAGACCTTCGGAGCGCCGGCCATAGCTGGGACCTGTGCTGTACTCTGCCATTACGTAGGGGCTGACAGAGGTCTGGGTTATCGAGGTCTTCTGGAGGCGAGAGAGATTGGTGCCCTGCTGGACCCTCCTCCGGAGTGGGGTTCCAGGGTGTTGGCGCTGCAGCCATAGCTGCAACTTTCTTCCTCAGAGGTCATCTTGTCAGGGTTCGGTGGCGCTGCTGCAGACTTCCACCCGGGAAGTCTTCCGACACTTCATCATCAACATATATTGTGGAACTGGTCTTCTTCTTCATCCTTTGAGTGGCGCTTGGCCTCAGAGGCCTGTGTCAGGGTGGCGCTTCCCTCAGGAGGCTGTATCTGGGTGGCGCTTGATGCTTCCGGGGCTCAGGGGTGTTACGGGTGTTAATCAGGGTTGGAGAGTAAAGCGCTGCTCATGTTTGAGCAGCGCACTGTAGTTCTGAAGTTATCCTGACAATTCGAGACTCTGAGTTTAATAAACAGTGTATAACTGGGTTGGGACTATCATTGTTAAATTGTTTCTTGGATGTGATCTGCTCGACTTTTCTCTATGACTGGTTGTGAGGATTGAGTGGAGTGAATTCCACTTTCAGTGCACCCTGTCATATCGCATGGTCAATTCTTCCGTTGTGTTTATCTCTCCCTGTGCGGTGTGATACTCGTATCCTCTCCCCTTCCTTCTGTGTATGTATGGGCATACCTGGAAGTCTATGTGAGCAAGTGTTGGTCTTCAGACGACAGACAACCAGAATCATAACACAGACCTACAACCGATGACAAGTACTGCCAAAACACAGATCATGGGTTCAAACACTCGGGTGTCGACTCGATACTGTACATGGGCAAAGTGAGGCCTGGGGATCGAATTCTAGGGCTCGCATCTGTGACTGCAGACAGGTGAAAACTGTTTCACTCCCGCCGGCTTAAATTCGAGGTCCTCCGAGAATACTTCAGTCTAAGGCAGGACCTTTACCCTTCTTATCTCTTTCGTAAGCTCGGACTATATCAGGAGTTGTCTCTGGAAGTTCTGTTTGCGTGAACCAGCGGTCGTCTTCTGGCTCTTGATAGGCAAATCTGACTTTGTACTGTTTCTGGGGACGACCTCTACCTCCTGTCCTGAAGACATCCTCACCCACTATCCCGTCAATGTCATATCTTCCATCCATATGTGGAGGAATCATAGATCTGCGTGATGTGAATTGTTGGCTTGTGACGCAAGGTAACAGCTTCGATGCATGGAACACTGGGTAGGTGTGGAGGTATGCTAGGATCTCAATAGTATAGGACGACCCATCTTCTCCGCCCTTGACTTCTAGGACTGGCCACGGTCCTCTATACGCAGGCAACAACTTTTGTGAGATGTTTTCCTCAGGGGCAAACTCTTTTGACTTGACCCAGACTAAGTCGCCTACTTGAAACTGTGAGGGGCGACGGTGCTTGTTAGCTTGCTCTATCGTTATGTGCTGGGCTTTCCTGAGGTTGTCAACAACGGTAGCTATCTCTTTCTCGTGCTGTATCGCAAACTCTCGTGTACCGGGCGGTAGCCTCTGAATTTGATCCCGGTTAAGTCCTTTAAATGGTCTGCGCGGTCTAAAGGACTTGTGCAACTCGTTGGGAGTGCGGCACGTAGATAAGTGCACGCTATTATTGTAGGCACTGGCCACCTTTGGGAGCATCTCATCCCAACTGATCTGATCGGGCCTAATGTACATTATGAGAACTTGCGGCAGGAGCTTGTTCATCTGTTCAGTCTGGCCGTTAGTCTCAGGATGACGACCAGATGACATCAGCAACGAGCCATAAACTTTCATCAGCTCCTGCCAGTTCTGACTAGTGAATCGGGTATCCCTGTTACTAACTATCGACAGCGGTATACCATGCTCACTGACCCAATGGTCAAAAAACTTTTGAACTACTAAGTCTGTGCGTGCCTCTGCAGGCAAAAGGACAAAAACTTCATACTTGCTAAATCTATCTACTATGACCATGACTTGACTTTTGCCATGCCTACTCATGACCTGAGTATCCATAAAGTCAATGGACACAGAATCTCCGGGTCTATTAGGAATAGGCAAGGGTCTGAGAAGACCAAGAGGGGCTCGCGTAGTAGTCTTGTTTCCTTGACAGACTTTACAACTGCGGACATACTCTATGCAGTCGGCCTTCATACCAGGCCAAATGTACGTGCACATGAGGTTGGCTAGTGTCTTCTGGCAACCAAAGTGTCCCTCTATATCATGCCATTCCCCTAAGATCAAACTACGGATCTCTTCACTGTTGGGAACGCACAGGCGGTCAACTACATTAGTCTTCTCGAATAATAAGCCATCGGTAGTGCGGTAGTTTGGCTCAGACTCTGGGGCCTCCCTAACTCTCTTGCGGAGATCACTATAGATAGGGTCCTGTGAATAAGCCTCTCTAACTTTTTGTTGCAGGTCTCTCCCTATATCCAGATAGTGAACTATTGCCCCAAAGTAATCAGCTCTTCTACTCAGAGCGTCCGCTAATACAATACTTCCCTTTAACTGGCTTTAGTTCAAAGTCATACTGGTCTAACTCTGCGGCCCACCTAGTAAGCTTAGGTGTCATCTTGGCCTGAGTCTTCAGCCACCTTAGTGTCTCGTGGTCTGAGTAGACTTTGAAGTGCCTCCCAAGCAATTAATGTTTCCAGTGCTCTAGTGCTTGCCTGAGAGCGTAGAGTTCTCTCTCATAGGTTGATGTCGCCACCTTCTCTGAAGGCATTCTGGCAGACATGAACTCTACGGGCATATACCCGTTGCCATCGTCTTGCTGTAAAACAACACCTATGCCATACTGACTTGTGTAAGTATGTAACAACGAAAGGCAGGGACGGATCGACTACCTTAAGGACTGGATACTTTATCAATGCTCGCTTTAGCTTGTTCAAGGCTGATGTACAGTCCTTGTCCCACTTCCAGATTGCTTCCTTCTTTAGCAACCTGCGAAGGGGTGCAGCGATGGTGGAGAAGTTTTTTACGAACTTCCTATAGTAGTTAGCTAGGCCTAAGAACGACCGCAACTCTGTCAGTGTGTGGGCGTTGGCCAATCTCTAATCGCTGTAATTTTGTTATCTTCAGGTCTAACGCCATCTTCGTCTAGGACGTGGCCTAAGTACAGAACTTGGGTCTTAGCCCATTCGCACTTCTTCGCGTTGATCTTAAAGTTAGCTTCTTTCAGCTTCTCCAAGACCTGCCTCAGATGACCCTCATGCTCCTGGAGGATCTTGCTAAAGACTAAGATATCATCTTAGATGCACCACTACAAATCTATCTAACCACGGCCTAAACAAGTCGTTCATGCAGCGCTGGAAAGTTGTTGGCGCATTGTTTAGTCCAAAGGGCATAACTATAAACTCATAGTGCCCATATCTAGTCCGAAATGTTGTCTTGTACTGATCATCAGGATGAACCTCTATCTGATGATAGCCGGACTTTAAATCTATCTTCAAAAAATACTTGCAGCCATGCACCCGGTCTAACAAATCGTCTATACGGGGCAGTGGTTCTGCATTCTTCACTGTAATAGCGTTTAGACCCCTATAGTCTATACACATTCTAAGCTCTCCCTCTTTCTTGGGGACAAAGAGAACAGGTGCTCCAAATGGGGACGAACTGGGCCTAATCCAGCCCTTCTCAAGGAGCTCGTCTAACTACTTACGTAGCTCCTCTAACTACCTTGGGGACATTCTGTACACAGCTCCCTTAGGAGTCCTACTGCCAGGCTCTATCTCAATGCGATGTTGGATGGGCCGCGACACTACCCCTATAGGCGGCTTGGCTAAGTCTGTATACTCTTCCAAGAAATTGGCAATAGCAGGATCTATGGGTTTCTCCTCCTTAGGCTCAGTAACAGGCCTGACATAGGCCACAAAAATTTGCTCTTCTAATTGCTCCTTCTTCACCAATCGCGCGAACGCGGGAGCACTGAGGCAGCAATGTGCTAGAGAGTTGTCTACTCCTGACATGTGAAACATACGAGCCGTCTTAACTTCGCCTGATGGGTTAGGGAGCCTACACTCGTGCTCTCCCAAATGGAGTGTGGCCCCTGCCGCCTCTCCCCAGTCCATTACTAGAACTATGTCAAAAGGAAGACTGTCTTTTATGAGGAGAGTTAGAGAATGGAAAACTTTCTCCACCTTCCCATCTTTCTCTAGGCGAACGTATGCCTGGACTCCCTCTATGTAATCCTCGACTCGCATGGTGCGATTGTCTGCGAGGATACTGACTATGGGGTCCTCTAACTTTTGGACTTTAAGATTCAACTTTAACTTCTGTAGCGCTTTCCTACTGATATAGCTGCGGGTGGCCCCACTGTCGATAAGGCCCCCTACTCTGCCTCTAAAAATCTCTACATCTACTAAGACTAGTTGTCCTTTCGCATCCTTCTTCATCTTGGCCCAGACAGGCATCCTCTCCTTCAATTCTTCTGCCACGCCTATGAGGGAAGTGCCTAGAGAGACTCTAACACAAGCAGTCTCTGGACAGCTATCTAGGCATTGGCCAGCAACCTCTGCCATAGACGCATGTGGTTTGGGAGTTTCTATGTGGTGCGCGCACTCTTCTCCACATGGCCTAGAGGTAAGGGCAGTTGCGACCCCTACCGGCGGTTCCCTCTTGCTGCCTGTGCAGCATAACGGGCCTCCCTATACTTAGGGCAATATCTAATAATATACCCAAGGTCACCGCAATAAATGCACTGATCCTGGTCTATTCTTTTATGCCACACTGACTGTTCGAGACCCAAATCTTCCCAGGGCTTGCCTTGTGGCCAGCGAGGGTGCCATCCACCCCTCCTGGGAGGTGACCGATTAAAACGAGAGCGGTTTTGCGGGGGACCTTGACCCCTACCTCCCGCTTGGCGGTTTCCTCTGCTGCCAACCCCCTGATCACCCTGTCCTCGACCACCGGAAGCCTGGCCCCCTTGGCCCCGGCCTCCTCCTCTTCCTTGCGGCTTCCCTCCAGTCGCGACAGCGGCGTAAGTCCTTTCCTAACTAACACCACTATCTTCTTCCTCCAGGCCCCACTCTATCTGATCATATGGGACCTCTTCCATACCGCCCTCATCTAGAGTAAGGATCAGGTGATCCTTACCCTTAACCTGACCCGAGATGGTGCGGCCTTTCCACTTTTTGCCCTTTTCAAGGTCCTTATGCCAGAAAGTGGAAACTGGCATGGACCGCGCTTCAAATGCTACCACCTCCCTACTCAAAGTATCGTAGGTCATGGTAGACTCTCTACTATTCTCAAAGAAATGCCCGCGCAACGGTTCGGGCATGGCGCGATAAAACAGTTGGACCAGGTGGTTCCCAGTGACCCCATGGTCAGGGACCGCTACTAACTCATCCATGACACCCTTGAGTGCCCTGGCACTCCTCCATTGGCGAGAATGGACCGTCTGCAGTTTGTCAGAAGCTCTAACACTTCGCGTGACATCTGCGAATCTCTCACGTAGTAGCTTAAAGAAATAACTCAGGGGGGTGATTAGAGAATACGCGACCATATTGTTCTCGCACTTGGCAACACGACAAAGCGATCTGGCGAAGCTAGCTGCTTCGTCTTTAAGGGCATGGAAGGCAATGAGGACATGTTCCTCATGAGCTATCTTCTGGAGGTGAACATAAGAGTTCACGTTTGCCTCCCAATTATCGAAGTTCTCCTCCTTATTCCTCTTGAAGGAATCAGGGAACTTCACTTTAACGGGCTCTCTACGTGGCCGGGCCTCTTCCTCTTTAGGGCCCACTATCTTGGCGCCTTCAATGGCGCCCATGCAAAACTTCCGAGTGCCCTCCATAATCGTGCGCAATTTGGTGCCTACGTGCATCATCATATCCTTTGCAAAATCCTTAAAACCGGTGCGCATGGATTGCAGCGTGATGTCATGGCCCTTTAAATAGCGCAACTGTTCTTGCTGCGCTTTCAGCATCACCTTCACGCTCTGTGATAAGATCTCCACCTTCTTTTGGAGATCAACTTGCGCTGCCAACCTCCAATGTTCTACTTCAGCAGCCCTCAAATCCCTTTCCATTTTCTCGGCCGCCTTCGATCTCCTCTTCCTCTCGCGGGCAAGGCGGAGTTTCCACTCTAACTTTTTCTCCTCCTCCATCACCTGCTGCTTCATGGGATTTTCTTCACCCTCCTTCCCTAGCAAATTGTTCTCGCTCTGTCTGAGGGACAAACAACAATGCTTCATCCTCCCCCAGGGCCAAGTTAGCTACCCATTCGTTCACCATTCTCTCCATCTTAGCTTCCGCCTCCATCTTGGCTTCGGCCTCTCGTGCCCCACTGGATTCCCCTCTCTTTTCTGTCCTTCCTCTCCTGACCAGTGGTATCTCCTCCTCTTCTTCTTATGTTTCTGACTCTATTGCCGCCAATTTCTCCTCCTGCTCCTTTTTCCATTTTTGAAGTTCCTCCTCCATTTGCTTCTGCTTGGCCTTTTGCTCCTCCATTAAGGCCAGCATCTTCGCTTGCTTAATCAACTCCCTCTTCTCCATCTTCTCCTTCGTCTCTCTCAGGAGGGTGGCGGCTTTCTCTTCTTGCTCTTTAGTATACGGGGTGGTGATCTTACCACTGCGTGTCTCAACCATCGTGAAAGATGCACAACCGAGTGTCAGTTCCACTCCTCACCAATTAGACTTCCACCCCCTAGTTGACTTAACTTACCTACTGACTCTCTAAGGACCACAGAGCCTTACCCTTCGATCCAGCCAGGTTACCACGGCCGACGGAAGCTTTCGCCACCGTTGTCCTTTACAATCCAGACCCAGATGCCCAACACCTGTGGTCAATCCCACCTGGCTTTCTCTCCGGTTCATACCCTGCCAACTAGGGTCACTAGCCTAGACCTACTTCTAAGCTGTCACTACAGGACTTACTGCTGATCAGGAGGCATTTAAGGAGATCCCCCGTAAATCCTCAGGAATTATTTAACGTCGCAAACAGGACGACGCGATCAACAAGTCCTCTCAAGACTTAGACAGCTGGTTGTGCAGCCCACAGCTCGGATTTTGTGCCTACCGTGCCACACCGAGCAGCCCGCAGGTCTGTACCGGTCCTTGGAGGGTTCGTGTCCTCTGGGTCAGTCGAGTCGTCATTCACAGCCTTTAGCCCTAAGCCCGTGTGGGTTTGGTCAACGCAGCTCTATCCTTCATACACAGAGTTCCTAGCACCCGAACAGAAGAGACTCAATGCAGAAAGAAGAGACAGACAGACTCAGCAAGTACCAAGGGGTGAGTGCACATCCATAGGGCGAGGGAGTAGGCTAAGGGCTTGGCGAGATTATACCAACTCCAGCTTGGTCAATTTCATGGTCAGCAGCCCCGGTCAACGCTTGGTCAACTCGCCAATCAACAACTTGATCAACGCCAGTCAACCCGCCGGTCATCTCTCCGGTCAGAATCTTGGTCAACGTTGGTCAACCCTTCAGTCAGCACCTTGGTCAACCCTGAATTCGGCTATGGCTGCCGGCACCTTTTCTTCCTCGCCAACCTCCTTATCCTCCATTTTCCTTCCTTCTTTCTTCTTTACCTTGCTTCACCCCGGCTATGTCTTCTTTCTTCTTCGTCGTCTCTCCCTTCCCCTTCTTCGGCTATGGCTTCGTCCTCATCCTTCGTCTCTCCCTTCTTCTTTACTCGTTTTCTTCTTTCACCTCCGTGTCTATGGCCGCCTTCTTCCTTGGACCGCACAACAATCTTCTTTCGCTCCTCTCTCTCTCTCTCTCTCTCTCTCTCTCTCTCTCTCTCTCTCTCTCTCTCTCTCTCTCTCTCTCTC